GAGATTTCCTTCTTCAAGGCTATAAAACTCAGTTTGTGCTGCTATTTATCCATAGCTGGGGGACGGGAGATGAGTTGGATTCATACCTTTCCAAGGGTATTAATATGTAATGAACTGAACTAGAATACGAAATTGGCTCTCAGCAATCCATTACTCTACTGTGCCTCCGAAATAGCGTAATAATGCGTATAAAATAATATAATAATATTTAATAGAGTCATTCCATGTCAAATCAAAAAGCATCAGACCATCACTGACAAAAATGCTTTATACTTACAGAGCTTAGAAATTTGGTATAATCACAGAGCTTAGAAATTTGGTATACTTACAGAGCTTATAAATTTGTATACTTACAGAGTTTAGAAATTTAGTATACTTACAGAGCTTTGAAATTTGGTATATTTACAGAGCTTTGAAATCAGGTATACTTACAGAGCTTAGAAATTGGTATACTTACAGAGCTTTCAAAATTTGGTATAATTACAGAGCTTACAATTTGGTATACATGCAGAGTTTTGAAATTTGGTATACTCACAGAGCTTACAAAATTGGTATACTTACAGAGCTTTGAAATCAGGTATACATACAGAGCTTAGAAATTTGGTATACTCAGAGAGCTTTCAAAATTTGGTATACTTAGAGAGCTTAGAAATTTAGTATACTTACAGAGCTTTGAAATTTGGTATACTTACAGGGCTTTGAAATTTGGTAACTTATAGAGTTTTGAAATTAGGCATACTTACAGAGCTTAGAAATTAGGTATACTTACAGAGCTTTGAAATTAGGTATACTTACAGAGCTTTGAAATTAGGTATACTTACAGAGCTTTGAAATTTGGTATACTTACAGAGCTTTGAAATTTGGTATACTTACAGAGCTTTGAAATTTGGTATACTTACAGAGCTTAGAAATTAGGTATACTTACAGAGCTTTGAAATTAGGTATACTTACAGAGCTTAGAAATTTGGTATACTTACTGATCTTTGAAATTTGGTAACTTATAGAGTTTTGAAATTAGGTATACTTACAGAGGTTAGAAATTTGGTATACTTACAGAGCTTTGAAATTTGGTATACTTACAGAGCTTTGAAATTAGGTATACTTACAGAGCTTAGAAATTAGGTATACTTACAGAGCTTTGAAATTAGGTATACTTACAGAGCTTTGAAATTAGATATACTTACAGAGCTTTGAAATTTGGTATACTTGCAGAGCTTTGAAATTTGGTATACTTACAGAGTTTAGAAATTTGGTATACTTACAGAGTTTAGAAATTTGGTATATTTATAGAGCTTAGAAAGTTGTTATACTTACAGTACTACAAATTGAATAGTGTCTATTTTACATCTTTAGGTCAAATGGTTCCAGAGATATGAACCTTTGAACTTTGCTAAAAAGTTTAATTCTGCAAAATAGCCACACAGTTTAAATATCAATATCTCAGGTATTTCTTTATACCTACAAATCTAAATTATATAAGACCTAAAGTACTTGGACAGATCTAAAAGATGGTCCATTTATTTTTTGTTGAAAAGATTGTTATAACCTAACGAAGGTTACTGAATTGTGTTACGGCTGGCGCCTGGCGCAACACAAAACAAGAAGATCCAGATTCGTAGAAATTAAAGTTGAAGAAAAAAGATTACATCTAATATCGAAAAGCGGATTTTATTTAGCATATATACAATATTTTTAGAACAGTAGGGAATGAGTTTTAAATAATGAAAGTTAGGAAATGCTAACAAGTTTCTTAGCGTGCGAGAGCACAGAAAGTATTTGGCTTAACCTGTAAAAACTATACAATGGAGTGAGAGAGGAAATCCTCTGTAGTTAAGCCGACGGATGGGAATTCGTCACTAGTCAAAGAATTCATATTTTCTTCTTAAAAATAGTTCGATTAATTCACATACATATAAAATAAAAGAGTTTGCTCAATAATATCAAGAAAACAGGGTGAAGTATTTACCGATAGTTTTTTTTTTCTTTTCGAGTACTGTAGGAATTTTATAGTATAAGTGTAAAGAAGTAGGACAAACTAGGGCCTCATAACAATAGAATAATCAAACGAAGGTTGGTAATCTTACTTATTATAAAACGCAGAGTGTGTGTGTATGTGTACGTTTATATATTGGATCGGATTTCCTACATTTTTCAACCGATTTCAACAAAACTTCACAGGACTACGTAAAATTACCTTGCGGTAGTTCTGACAGCACCAAAAATTGAAAAAAAAACCCAACTGTTTTTGCATGAAATGAATTTGAAAACACGATTACGAGGCATCGCGAGAATGAAAGGGGAACAACTCATATCGAGTTATACTTATAAAACCCAGGTTGTTTGTGTATGTGTGTGTGTGCGTTTATATATGGGATCGGATTTCCTATATTTTTCAACCGATTTCAACAAAACTTCACTTTTTTTTTGGCAGGTAGTGTTTCTTATTGTCTTGCACACTTTTCTCTTTATTTTTACATTGAGAATACTTTAAAAATTCCATTTACAAGACAATTGTTTATAATAAAATTCTATTCAATCGATAGACTCATAACGATTGAAAACAAGGTTTTTGTTTGAGTTTGGGGTTGACCAATTCGTAAAAAAAAAAAAAAAAAAATCAAAACCAAACTATCGCTATAAATCTATTTCAAAATTTTGTTGGCATTAAATGACCCACTGACGTTGATATGCCATAAAACAAACCAAACCAAACCAAACTATCGCTATGAATCTATTTCAAAATTTTGTTGGCATTAAATGACCCACTGAGGTTGATATGCCAGAAAAAAAAACCAAACCAAACCAAACTATCGTTATTTCAAAATTTTTAATGGCATTAAATGACCCACTGTATTACACAGAATGTTACACCAAAACAACACATTCTTAATTATCTTTCTTACTAAATTCACCATAATACCTCATTGTCTCTATGAAAATCCTAACTAGTCCCCATATGTACAATTCGTAGTCTGTGGTGTGGAATAAAGCAACAAAACCATAGTGAGGAGTTCATTCAAACAGTTACCATGGAATTATTTATAGAAAAGATAGAGGGTAGCAACCAATTGGCAGTAAGAAAGAGAGTGATGCTGAGATGCCAGAACAGGACCAATAAAATTGCAGATTCTTTTTTTGGATAATAACTGATATTGCGTTATTTTCAATTCAGCTAAAACCCGAGCAAGGCAGTAAAGCCCCTAAGAGACAGGGGTTTTTCACAAGCGAGAAATAAAAACTGTTAGCATAGAATTTACGGTTACATCAAGCTAACTCGGCTGTAAATTGGTGAGATTTCGACGTCAGTTCTAATAACGCATTTAATATGTATATAAATTATTTTCGATAATATAATAATCAACCTGCAAATTTTCATTAAATAGAACTATTTTTTTTAAAAATTTCATGATAAAAATTGACAACGAGTAAATCTATATACCACATCCGGTATACACTTTTTAAAAGCGTTGAAGAAAATTTGGAACGTTGTGGTGGAATTTTTACCCGTATTGAATCTATTGGAGCAGCCGAGAAGAACTTTTCGAAAATACTGGATTAATTAGAAGTCGAAGGATGGTTTGAAAATATTCTATTGAACGCGGAAGAAATTCTTAAGAGACGAAAGGAGTAATGACGACTTGTTATCACTTGATTCTGTGCAAAAGATATTAAAGCGTATTAGATATTACTAGTTTTGTACCAGAACGGAAATAATAACACATAAAAGCGGAGTTTTTTTCTTTTGTGAAGAGAACCAGGGAAATTTAAAGGAACATTGATTGTAAGCAATAATTAATTTAGGAAAGAAAAATCTGTTGATTTTTTTTTTCTTTTTTATTTAATAATTTTATTTTCTCACTGCAAGAATCTTCTTTATTTACACGAGATTCAAATCTTTCTACCGGAGGTGACAAAAGGAAAGAATGAGAAAAAAAAAAAAAGAGAGAGGGAATAGAAAAGCTGACAAAGCTTAGAAAAAAAGACGACGACGACGACTACGACGACTACGACGACGACGACTACGACGACGACAATTACAACGACGACGACAACGACGAAGAAGAAGAAGAAGACGAAAACTAAGAAGAAGAAACCAGGAAGGAAGAAAGAAAGAAAGAAAGAAAGAAAGAAAGAAAGAAAGAAAGAAAGAAAGAAAAACAAGAGAATTTATGATAAGGAGTACCAGAAAAAAAATGATGGAAGAAGAAAAGAAGAAGAAGACAGGGAGGAGGAGGAGAAGGAGGAAGAAGGAGAAGAAGAAAAAGAAGAAGAAGAAATAAAGAAAGAAAGAAAGAAAGAAAAACAAGATAAATTATAATAAGGAGTACCAGAAGAAAAATGATCAAAGAAGGTGGAGAAGAAGAAGTAGACGAAGAAGAAGAAGAAGAAGAAGAAGAAGAAGAAGAAGAAGAAGAAGAAGATCAAAAAAAAAAGAAGAAAAGAGGGAGAAGCATTAGAACAAAAAACGAAGAAGACGAAAATTAAGAAGAAGAAGAAGAAAAGAGGAAGGAAGAAGAAAGAAAGAAAGAAAAACAAAAGAAATTATAATAAGGAGTACCAGAAGAAAAAATGATGAAAGAAGAAGAAGAAGAAATAATTATGATAATATTACGCAGAAAAAGAAAACGACAACGGAAAATAACTATAAGAACAAGAAAAAGAAGAAAAAAAAACAAAAAAACAACACGAACCGAAGAAGAAGACAAAGAAGAAAAAGTACAAGAACAACAATGTTAATAATAACAATAAGCACAAGAACAGCAAGAAGACGAAGGAGAACAAGAAGTACAAGAAGAAGAAGATGAAACAGAAGAAAAACAAGACATGAATACGCATTAGGCCAAAAAGAGAAAAGAAAGCAAGTACGTGACTGCTTCAAAAGGTTTGCGAAGAAACGGAGAGAAATGCGTGCAAAAGCCCAAGTTGCTAATTTAAAGATGGCGTCATCGTTCGATAAAAAAAAAATCGTTCGCATTTTCGCGCCGTAGGAATATCGATAGATGATAGAATTATTCATTCTCTTTTTTAATCAGGCAAAAAGGGATGAAAACGCAAATGGATGGCCCCTGAGATATTCCCAAGGTCTTTTAATATAAAAGATGTCTTAAAAGTGGAAGGATTATAGCTGGATTCCCATAATGCAACTGTCCTGTTCTTTTCTACTTTGAACGGCCATTTTTTCATTCTATCCCATAAATATACATTTATTGAAATCGCTTGCATCTATAGATAAAGATTATCTCTGTTCATATCTATCTCACAGCCTGTTCGTATCTAACCATTAGACTGACTCGTTCACTTACTTTCTTTCTTTCTCAGTCTGTTGATATATATATATATATATATATATATATATATATATATATATATATATATCCAACTATGGCAGCTTAACCAGTTTCTGCCTCGATCTATTTATATATATATATATATATATATATATATATATATATATATTGTTATTCTTTTCTCGGTGCCTCTGTCTGTCTGTCTGTCTGTCTCTTCTTCTCTCTATCGATATATATATATATATATATATATATATATATATATATATATATATATATATATATATCAAAAATACTACTTTTACAAAACAAGATAATATGTCCTGAAATTGAGTTATTATGTTAAAATTGAAAGTTTACGGTAGATGTTGTTGTGTTGTTATATAGACTAAGTTACATTTGTCATTTGTGTACATTTTTGGCTAGTCTGTGTCAGCTTCTAGAATGGTAATGGATACGAAGCTACACGGCTGTATCAGATTCCGTTTCCAGATCCAGAATGGATCCGTACCACCACAGAATATGGTAATAAATATTCTGGTAATGTATCTTGGATTGCACATTTAATATCATTAAACTTCGGCCTATTCATCATTTTTTCACAGTTTATTCGCATTTATCTATCTATCGTTTCATTTGGTCTCACCCCAACTCTCTCTCTCTCTCTCTCTCTCCATATATATATATATATATATATATATATATATATATATATACACAAATATTTGAATGTTCATATCTGTCCGTTTATATCTCTATCACTGGCTATTCTTTATCTATCTATCTATTCTATCTATTTCAGTTTTCTCATATCTATCTATCTATCTATTTCAGTCTGCTCATATCTATCTATCTATCTATCTATTTCAGTTTTCTCATATCTATCTATCTATTTCAGTCTGCTCATATCTATCTATCTATCTATCTATCTATCTATCTATCTATATATATATATATATATATATATATATATATATATATATAAAGAATAATCACACATAGAATTAATCAAGTATTAATGCGATTATTGGCGACATCCATCGCTAGAAAACATAATATATGCATTAAAATCCTGTTCATCCAGAGTGCGAGTTTTGATCCTTGAAGAAAAACTTGTTGTCTGTAGTTTTTCAGTATATTTGATGTTAAAATGCTAACATCAAATAAACTGAAAAACTACAGCAAGGCGTGAAGCCACCAGGACGCAAAAGGGGTTACAGAAGATTTGGAACAAGAGCAGATAGGAGTGATAGAAGAAAGGATGAGGAGAAGGACAGTGGATAGATCATGGCAACTGGAGATGTCGATTGACATTACATTTGAATAGTTGGAGATTATAGCTCACAGGGAAACTGGAATAGTTTTTTAAGCATTCAACCCCAAGCAAGGCGTGAAGCCACTAACACGCAAAGAGTTACAGAGAGTTGGAGCGAGAGAAAAGAGGAGTGATAGAGGAAAGGATAAAGAGAAGTATAGTGGATAGATCAAGGAATCTGGAGACGTCGATTGACATTACATTTGAATAGTTGGAGATTATAGCTCTCAGGGAAACAAGAAATGGGGAGGGAGTTCCACAGGCGAGAGGTGCGAGAAATGAAGCTATTGGCGTAGAAGAGACGGCTACATTTAGAAGTTTCGATAGTGAAGGGGTGAGAGCGGGATGCCAGCCTCGTAGGGCGCTTGAACTCATGAAGTCTGGGAACCAGCGCATGCAGCTCATCGGAGCAATTACCATGAAAGTATTTGTAAAAAAAGACAGAGAGAGGCGATGGCGCGTCTATGAGAGAGCGACTGCAGACGAGATGCCAGATCAGGGCCAATTATATTGCATATCCGCCTCTGATACAAAGATTTCAACTGACTCGTTCAAAAAGAATAATATGGTGACATTTTCGAAATACTATATATTACTCGTGTTTAATCCTATTTTATGTATAATACGACCTTTGTATTTTTTTTTCATATAGGTCATGTATAATGCGCAGGCTTTTCGTAGTCAAACATTGCAGTATTGGGCATCATACTGGAAATATTTTCTAGCAAATAAATGGCCTTTGTTCTTTTTCGTACAAAGATAACCGCAAAATGGTAAGGAAACCCACTTATCGTAAAATATCTGATACAAAGGTTTACATACCGTACTTTTGTTTTTGTTCATGCCTGACTAAGGTAACCTCCTTTACCCTGGACCTGCCTCCTATATAGCTTAAGTTTCTTTCCTTATTGTTGCTACATGAAGAGCAAAGTCTTATCACCTATTCAATTTTATGCATGACATTTAAGTTAAAAAGATTATCAGTGGGTCCCTCTATTTTTGCGTAAAAAACTGATTATAAATCTTGTGTATAATGTGATCCAAGCTTCTGAGCAATATTTGTCGGCTTATCATAGTCAAACATTTCCGTACTAGGCATCATCTTGGACAAAATTTAAAACAAATAAATGATCTTCGTTTTTTCTCGTACAAAGATAACCACAAAATGGTGAGCAAACCCACTTACCGTAAAATATCTGATACAAAGATTTAGATACCGTACTTTTGTTTTCGTTCATGCCTGACTAAGGTAACCTCCTTTACCCTGGACCTCCCTCCTATATAGCTTAATTTTCTTCTATTTTTGTCGCTGTATGAAGACCAAAGCCTCATCCACTATGCATGTTTTATGCATGACTTTTAACTTAAAAAAGTACCTATTTACAATGTGCCCCCTATTTTTTGGTTAAAAAACAGATCATAAAGACTCGCACTATACTCAAGCATATACGGAACATATACATACTTCGTTCAGTTAAAGTTTAAATACTTATGGATCCCGGACATAGCATGCACAGATTGATAATTCATGTGAGAAAAAAGAATAATAAAGTGGCATAAAAGAATAATACCCCACTCATGTATAAAACTATTGTATAATATATATATATATATATATATTTTTATATATATATATATATATATATATATATATAGTCAAACATTATATATACTGGACATCATACTTAAATATTTTCTAGCAAATAAATGGTCTTTTTTTTAAATTTTTTTAATATGGTGGTAAAAAACTTGGATGTAAAGTATCTGATAGAAATTTTTACTTTTTGAAAAACATAATTTTTTGGGCTTTTATAGAGAAAAAGTTTCTTTATTCTTGTTGCTGCATGACAAGTTAAACGTCTTTATCCGTACGGTTTCTTCAAACATTATAGTTTTTAATCAAACTTGGACAAATGCGTTTTTACTAAAAATAAATTTATTATATAAATATATATATATATATATATATATATATATATATATAAATGGTCTTTTTTTTATTTTTTTTTTTTACCAAAATCTTTTCTTATTCAATGATTTTTTTGAAAAAATGGTGAAAGTTGATGCTAGAAAAAACTTAAAAGTGAAAGAAGCTTTATCTAGTTTTGAATTTAGCAATGATTTTAAGACAAATATAATTTTCTGGGTAACTTATTTTTGAATAAATTGGTTTTTTTTTCATGGAATTGGTTTTTAGATACCCCTATTGAAAAGACCCTGAGGAGCGAGCAGTACAAGAGAATTTTAGGGTTTTGTCTGAGATTCATTAAAGGGTGAAAATCGACCCCACCAAGCTCAATTTTTATGCAGGATAATTTTGTCACAAATCAAAATTTGATGAAGGAATACTTTAATGAGAAGATATACTATAAAGACTTGTGTTTCATAGAAAACTTATGGAGCATTATATCCTTTCTGAAAATTCAAATGCTGATCGGTTTTTTATATTCAGTTTCATCAGAGAAGAAGAGAACATTTTCAATGAAGAAAAAAAAACCAGTTCCATGGTGAAAAAAAATCCCGAACAATACTGAACGGATGTTTTATATATATGCTAAATTATATATTTTTCAAAACTTTCGACAAATTTTAGATCGCTTAATCCTTTGAATTTAGAGAATTTCGTTTCATCGAAGAGAACAATTAGTAAAATATCAGGTGATTCACTTTTTCGAACTTTATATAAAATATATAATATATATATATATATATATATATATATATATATATATCAAAGGTTCAAACACTAATATTCATGGATGGTAATTTATTACATTCGAATCGTAATCGAAATTCATGACCTACAAATTCAAATTACTAATTCATCACAATTACCATTGTCGTATTAGTCCACAATTACTACGGCACCACAATTACCATTACCGTATCAGTTCACAATTATACTTATTTCTCCCTCTTCCAGTGAAATTAATATCACCGCATAAATACTAATAAGTATTACTAATTGGAATTTCTACCATTTACATATGCGCAATCAACAAAAACAAGCAAATAACCGACTTTAAAATAATAACAAAACAGCCCTAAAAAATTAAAACTAATAGCAATTTTTCCCTATCATAGTCTTACACAGACCCCTTCATAATATTATTCAGCGAACAAAATAGAAAAAATGGTCTGCGTGTTGACAGTGCAACAAATAAAAATATTCGCTACATAATCCAACATTGAATACAGCGACCAAAGACACATCGATGTGCATATATGTCCAGTCCCAGATTGTTCACATATGTTTATGTTTGTGCGAGCTCCTGTGAGTGAGCGTGCGTGCGTGTGTGTGTGTGTGTGTGTGTGTCTGCGTATGTCAATGAGTGAACGAGTGTGTATGTGTGGCGTTCCGACGTCAATTTTTCCTCACACTTCTATAAAAAACACC